TGATCGTGCGGTCTTGGAGCACCGGCATGCCCTCCCCTGTGAGGTCTTGAGTCACTTGATTCACGAGCCCTTTGTACTACATTAACAAAGGCACGAGGGGTTGGTTGCACTCGATTGGGAAACCGATCCGCATAAATCCGTGATGCCGCGTAAATAAGAATTATGTCCACAAGTTCAGCATTTTCGTAAACATGTGCCATTTTTGATTTCGTTTGAGCCACGCAACAGACACCACTATTCACTCAAGCGATACCGACTGACACTGACTGTATACAACTGAATAAAATAATTGTAAAAACATCGTTCCAAATTCTTTCGCTTTTTTGTTTCCGATGCGATGAACCGATAAGGCGGATTATACCCGTTGTTGCCAAACACGAGCACATAATATTATTATTGAGACAGGGCGGTACTCAAACTTCCAAAGGGCTATAACTTTGTTACTTTAATTTTACCAGAAAAATGGTAAAGGAAAAAAACATTTCTTTTGATCAGATCTACTCACTATTAAAATAAATGACTCAACTTCGAAGTCACCCTGTATATATATATATATATATATACAGGTATAATGGGGTATTCATTTATTTCAGCAACAAAATAAAATAACAAAATTATTTTTTCTTGTCAAATCTGTTTTATTAAAGAAAAGAACTATTTTTAACATTTATTCTTTAAATATTATTTCTTTCTGACTGCGGTTGAGATGGTCCATTCTAAAGTTCCAATTTTCGATGACACGTTGACGCATTTCGACTGGAATTTGGCGAATGACCTGCGTAATGTTGGCTTCTAATTCCTCAATCTTATTGGGCTTATCAATGTAGACTTTGGACTTAACGTAGCCCCAAAGGAAAAAGTCTAGAGGTGTGATATCACATGATCTAGGTGGCCAATTCACTTATCCAAATCGTGAAATTAAGTGTTCATCGAAATGTTCTCGCAATAAAGCCATGGTTGCACGGGCTGTGTGGCAAGTAGCGCCGTCTTGTTGGAACCAAATGTCATCGAGATTACGGGCTTCAATTTCAGGCAGCAAATAATCTGTTATCATGACGCGGTAACGAGCACCATTCACAGTTACGTTCTGACCGGCCTCATTTTTAAAAAACTAGGGACCCATGATTCCACCGACCCATAAACCACACAAAACCGTTGTTTTCGCTGGATGTAATGGCATCTCTTGAACCACTTCGGGTTGTTCTTCACCCCAAATACGACTGTTTTGTTTATTAACGTAGCCGTTAAGCCAAAAATGGGCCTCATCGCTAAACAAAATTTTGCTCGAAAATATCGGATCTTCTTCAAGCCGTGCAACAGCCCAAAGACTGAAACGATGGCGCTTTGGAAGGTTGGCCGGCTTCAATTCTTGAACGAGTTGAATTTTGTGTGGTTTCAAATTAAGATTCTTACGTAAAATACGCCAAGTTATTGAATACGACAAGCCAAGCTGTTGAGAACGACGCCGAATCGATTCTTCACGGTCCTCACGTATACTCTCAGCTACCGCAGCTATATTTTCTTCACTGCGTGCTGGATGTGGTCTATTGATCGGGTATTATCCAATAATGAAAATTGGGTTTCAAATTTTTCGAATTGTGCGTTCGGTGGGCCGATTATGTACATATACACCATAAGTTGCTCTAAGTGCACGAAACACACTTCTCGCAGAACGTTGATTTTCGTAGTACATCTGAATTATTTGTAGACGCTGTACTGGACTAAGTCTTTCCATGATGAAATGTCGAACAATACTGAAACAGAAAATGTTAAATTAGTTGTCATGACGCATGCGCCATAAGCAATTACAGCCACACCAAAAAAGTACCTCTAAATGAATCGCCCGTTATATACAGAAGCAAAGGTCCATAGAAATGATTTCATCGGACAAAATTCAGCTAGAATAAAGCTCCAGGTTCAGAACATCTTCACTGTTAAGGCCTTCTATGGTCGTAAGACGCCAAAGCGAACATCCATCTTTGCGCAATAGTCGAGCTCTGCCATGAAGCACGATCATGTCTGGATGTTGTTCAAAGGAATATTCTATCATTCTGGCTATATCGTGCATGTGAGTACGGTCTGCAAAAATCAGGAAATGGCCATGTGTTAACCTGGCAAACAAGGTAAAAAATTGATTTAGAATAAACTTGACCTGAAATTCCCTTCCAGGACTTGTAGAGGAAGGTTTGGGCTTCAATTTGACAACCTCTAAAAATAATAATTTCTCACTAAATTTTAAAGCATTGAGTATGCCCATTTTTAGGATAATCAAACGTTAAATCGCTTAAAACTCGAAAACGGTAAATTTTAGAGAAAAGTTACTAACGACCTTTTTTTGTTCAAAAATGGTCAAAAAAAACCTGGATAACTGGAAATTACATTACAAAGAACTTCTCCGCTTTCCACTGGTAGTCGGTAGGTCAATCGATTTTAGTGAAATGCCCCCTTTTGAGCGATGATTTATTGCTTCGCCAGTTTTCATGATTAAATCGAGATTATTGTGAGCGACCGTAGGCCTCAATCAAATGATGCAACTAAAGCAATACCATGATTGAAAAGTCAATAACAGCCCTTTAGCATTGGGGATGATTGAGTTGAGATGTCATAATCGCAACTGCATAATGTGATTTTAAACTTTGGAAGAAAATTTAAGGTAAATTTGGGCAAATTGCTTGTCAGATAAAATTACCTATCCCAAACTGACCAATTAGTGACTTGCACGATATCCAGTTATCATTTTAGACGAGGCGAGAATCGCTTTCTTGGGAGAAATTTTTCAACTTGATTTCATAATCACGTTTGTTGGATACCCTTTAATATGAATCAAGAGGTTTAGAAAGTGCATTTAATTGCACTACAACCGACTCTATCAGACATGCCTTGGTTAAGCACGGGGTTGGATCAATCCTAATAGATTGGGTTCTAACTACTCTGGAGGGTCGGGTAGCAACAGCTATGCTGAATGACGTAAGCTGCAGCGTCAGCGTAGCTAGAAGCATCTGTCTTGTACGGCTACCTGGTCTGGTGGTCTTGCATTAGAACTGACACAACTAAGGCCAAACTCAATAAAATTCAGCGTTGGATCTTCCACCGTTGCCCAAACGAGGGTAGTCACTCACCGACTGTGAAGTCTGTGCAGCTGGGCCTTCTTGAATTCTGTCAAGGAGCATACCACCATCTTAGTCGAGTTGCAAAGCGAGGAACCCGTCCTTCTAAGCAGGGGTGATCGTAATACCCCTAAAAATCGCTTCAACCGCAAGTTTAATGTGGAGTATCCAACGACGGAGGAGTGGGACGCCGATAGTCGGAGACTCTTCGGAGTGAGCAGGCAGGTCTGGTACACGGACCGAAGAGGACTCAGGTGCTGAGGTCTCTGGGCCTAGAACTAGGCTATCTCTACCTTTCGGTAGATACACCACTATTTTCCAGGCGGAAATCTTTACGATTCTGGCTTGTGTATCTCGCAGTCTGGAGGAGGGTGGGCCTACGAGAAAAATAACAATCTTATCCGACAGCCAGGCTGCAATGAAGGCACTAAGTGCCTGTAAGATTACTTCGAGTCTTGTATTGCAATGCAGGGACGCTCTAGATTGCCTCGCAACGAGGCATCCAGTATCATTAATGTGGGTACCGGGGCACGCTGAGTTAAGGGGCAATGAGACGGCGGACGCTCTGGCGAAGACAGGATCAGCCAGCAAGCGCGTTGGTCCTGAGCTATCTTTAGGAGTGCCCGCGCATAGAGTTAGGAGGAAAATGAAGACGTGGATTACAAGACAATATTCTCAGAAATGAAGAAGTATCTCCGCCAGGCACGGGAACTCATTGAAGGGTCCAGTGCTAAAGATGGACGTTTCTGCTTATCTCTGGATAGAGCCAACCTAAGGTTGCTGGTGGGACTGTTGTCTGGCCATAACACGATAAGACGCCTCCTACACGTGATGGAAGTGGCTAAGGATCCCTTGTGTGAGCGCTGCGGGGTAGAGAAAGATACCTCGGTGCACTTTTGGTGTCGCTGTGAAGCTCTGAGCTACTATAGGCAGACTATACTGGGGTCCATTGCTTTGGATCTTCAGAACGTCAAGGTGCTTGGACTCAAGGCGATTCTCAACTTCGCTAGAAGGGCGAGGGTTGTGATCTAAGGAATGTAGAGCTGCATAAGGGCCCGTTTAAGCGGCCTATGCACTAGCTCCTTATGGTGGCCGGAATGCCTCTAATTTGACGTTTCATTCATTCATTCAAGGGGTTTAGAAATGTTTTTTCGCTGCAGACACCGCATTCTTTTTAGGTTTTTTAGATTATTCTGAACAAAAAAGATCTTCAGCAATTTCTCTCTAAAGTTAAACATGTTCGAGATATGAGCGTTGAATGTCTAAAGAAGCCTAAAAATAGATATCTTCCACGGTTAGAAGCTCTGCTAAAATTTATTCTTTGAAGTTGCCACGTATCTGAATTGAACCTGAAATCTTTTCCTACAAGACCTTTAAACGTATTTTAGGATTAATTTATTTTAAAGCAATTTCCAACCTTGCTTGGTAGACTAACAAATGGCGAATTTTTGATTTCCGCAGCTGACATCGAGACCTGGTCGCTACTACTGCTTCGTTTTTTCCTAGGATCTCGGTAATGTAAAACAGCTTAGGCTCATCAAGTTCTTTATAGAAACGGTAGTACCTCAGTATTTAGGTTCTACCTTTGCGGCTAGTCCAATATAAGAAATCAAGTTTGAGACGTAAAAATTAAGATGCATTCAACCTTTAGTAGCTCATCTTACGCTAATAAATACTCATTAACATTGAATACATTCAAGTATCCATATTATTTTAGATAAAATTTATTGATTGTTTTGAACAAGCATATACATACTACAATTTTTTCAGATAACTTGCTAATGATACCAATTATAGGATACAAAGTACAAGTACATCCAATGCACAGTTGCTCAGGTTGCACTGAAATCAAATAAGGAAATGTTTATTTAATGTGTACTCATTAGAAAAAATTGTTATCGAGTAGACTGACTCGGTATCTTTCACGCATTTTCGATTTTTAAAGGTGAAGCATTCTTCATTGCTTAGTGTTCTGAAATATTACAAGCCTGAAAAAATTATTTAAAAGATAAAGAGGCCAAATATTGGACATCTTCAAATATCAATCAATACTGCTTTAGACGAAACGGAAAGCAAGCAAAACACGACAAGTAGTTCGCCAAAGTTGATTTTTCATCAATGAAAACGATACAGAGATGCATACACACGGCTGAAATGGACATGTTTGCTTTCCGTCTCCAGTAAACATGACCAGCCACAGACCTGGTCATTAGCAACTCATCAGTGGTATAGGTCTTAGGTCTAGTCTTGGAGGCAGACGAAATAGAAAGCACCAAACCAAACCACCAGTTACAGGCACATTCCTACAGCAACCCCCCATTTCTGGATTAGGTAGCTCACTGCACTTTCAGAAACCCCCAAGCTCAAGTGATCTAACGCCCAGTCAAGTCTCGAGCTTTTGTTGATATTCCCAACTCTGGCCCTTTTCGACTGGTATATCTAGGAAGGTTCCCTTGAATTCTGATATATAGAATGCCTTGATTTTCTCGTCAAGCTGAGCAGGTCTGGCTCTAAGCAGGGAATTGGTTGGTTCAAAACACATACAATCTCTAACTTTTTCGTAGCTCAGTGTTATTGCGATGTTTCAATTTTATCTTGGTGTCCCTTCCTTCAAAATAAAAAATAAATTATATCTTATTGTTCCAGTTCCAAGGTGATAAGGAAGAAGCCTACGTTCGTTTGACATTGAACCAACACTACAGAGCGGTCAAAGAGAAACGAACCGACATCTGCAGGCCTTCAGTAAGAGACAACTCGGTCACCTTCACTGAGGGCTTCAACTTCAAGGTCACTCCAGCACAAGTGGACATCACAAGTTTGGCCTTCCATATCTTCGAATCTACATCTGGTTATGGTAGGGGTACGTGTTAGATTGTCGTAGTTTCGAGAAAATCTCCTGTTTCCATCAAATGTAGTCGAATCATTTGGTAGTTGGCGTTTTAAAATATTTCAATGCAGTTTCCCACGAATTTTCACTTCACTACCTCGTATCCTTTCCGCTCGCGTTGTCATATTGGAAAACAAGCACCCATAAGCACAATATCCATCCCGACCTTTTCTATGATAAAAGCAACTATATGATGGATTGAACTACGAAATATGTATTTTGAATTTTCTGTGGAATCAATAGTTTTGGCGTATGGTCACTAATACGAATATATGGTGAGCCGTTCATAATTCCTGGAAAAGTAAAAATCACTGCTTCTACTGTGCTTCGACGTACTCTATTAGAATATTTATGTTGCTGCCTTGTATCTTTGCCGCTTATGAGATCATATTGGGAAAGTGAAGGCCATAGTATAATCGAGTGAATTATGTTCAGTTTGATTGAGTCAAAAAAGTAGTTTTGTGCGCAATTTTTCCAGCTGCAGAAATGGAAGAGATACGAGGTAGCAGCAGTATTGAAACAACGTTTTGAAGCGTTCCATAGCTTTCCCATTTTTGCGCACCAAATGATTGGACTATTACTGTGTTCACAAAGTCAAAGATGGACACATTGTAAAATAATCATGCTAAAAATTCACATTAAAGTATTTAGATTTTTTTTACATTTAAAGCGACTATTTAGGAACTGATCTTAGGCTAATAAGGAACTCCAGAAACATGTGACAGCAACCTAGAAGGTATGTTACGATTCAAGACTTTATCGAAGTTCTTTGAATGTAGCTTTAACAGAACGAAACTGATTTGCAAATGAATAAGACTACTAGTAAAATGCTTGGTCTAGAACAGATGCTATGTACAGAATCTCTTAATAATAAAATACTGTATATTTAAAAAATATTACCACCGAAAATTTAAAAAACCGGGGGATTTTTTCGAGTAGTTTAACCAGCTAGCTTTTTATTTAGCGCTGCTAGACATATTGAACTTAGACATTTGTTTTTGCGTAGTATCAGTGTGGCATGTAACATTAAAATCCTGAAGTATTGATAAAATAGCTCAATATCGTCGAAGTATTGACAGATAAACAGTAGCATTTCACAGACGCTTCTTCCCCACAATATCGACAAGTTCTATGGTATATCCATTTCTGAAGAAGCAAGTAACTTATTTATATTGCAGCTTCAAAAAAATATAAGATTAGATGTGTAGTGAGTAGTACTATATCTATGTGGGTAATGTGAAAAAAGTTTTATAGAGCATGATTTGTTAGTGAGCGCTCAAAGTCTATAGGTAAACTTCCATATCACTTATTTATGTGATACTTTCATGCAATCATTGTGGCTGCATAATTGCAGAAAAGTAAGGTTGAATATGTTGTTTACAATTAAACGTAGTATGAACATAATTCTCGTAGCAGAAAATATGCATTATCAATGCCGTCTGCTTTCCTCAATAAATTTTAACTTTATAGCTTCTTATTTCTTCAAATTTAAATGTACGAATGGGACGTTAATTGCATTTATCTTTTTTCTGTTTCACTCTACGTGATGTGCTAGATTTGTTATGCTAAAAATGTTTCAGTGTTTAGCTGTATTGTGTGTTATACTTGTGAAGTTAGACAGTGTTTATTTATAGAACACTGCTACTATTGTTATCTCTCTAAGTAAGTAAAATATATAGCCTTTATTCAAACGGCGAGTATTATATTATAGGCTCCCCAAATTATCAAGAAATATGAATAATTTGCTGATAGTTACTAATGATATGCAAATTCATGCTTTTGTCCCTTTCTCGCTGATATTTCAAACTAAAGTTGATGATTAGGTAATTAAAAAAAATATTGAAATGAATGACTGAATTGAAACTTAGCTTGGAAGAGAACTTTTATATCTAATAAATAAATTGTATGTCCGATATATCTAGCTTTACAGTTTTGAAAATCCATCCAGTGGCGGCAGAGAAAAAGGCAAAAAAAAAAATAAAAATCGGTCAAACTTCGTTTTGGAAGCGTTAAAAGTTGAGAATTATGGGTGGCAGGGAGTGCGTGATGACATACAGGCATCTCAGTGTTTTTACCTTGGTATATTTATACGCCTCCAGCCCCAGTATTTCTACGCGCACATATTTGGCATATTTCATATATCTCATACAGTCGGGTGTCGATTCGTGCGCGTCGTCACTCGATGGATAAGCGTCGTCGTCTTTGGTCGTACGTTAGAGTTGGCAATCGCTTCCACACTTCTGTAGGCTGCGTGAACTGTGATTCACGCGGGATTGGTCATCACAACGATCATGTGCACCTGCAGCATTTCCTCTCAGGGGGAGGAGGAAGGTCATTTAAATGTTTATTATACATGTTCATGGCTAACTTTTTCTCAGAAGGACTAACTTGTGCCAAATATAATGAATAAATAAATGACAGCCTGCCGGTCTGTCAGACCTAGAAAGTGTATAACCTAGAAAGTACTGCTCGGATTTTGATGGAATTTTTCAAAATCGGAACAATGGCGGCGGAGCTACAAGCAAAAGACGTAAAAAATCCCTCAAATGTCGTTTTTTCACGAGGGTCCTGATCATTTTCAGAAAAAAATTTGCATGGCTTAAAACTTGCATTTTGGGGATCGTAGGGGGTGGAACAGAGTATATTTTATGCATTTATTAGGCATATTTGATACATCATAGGTTTGTTCCTTAAAACTTGAATGATAGAAATATATTTTCAATGTACGCTTGCCGGACGAGGGTACGACTATCTGCTTCAAACGCTGAGCGATAACAGTAATGTTGCACGTATCCGTGTATGTGACGCCGTGCTGGGTTTACGAGATCCAAGGCAGGCAGAGTTGCCACGTTGCTGATGGCTAATGTCGGTAGGGCGGTGGGCTGGATCGCAATGTTGTCTAATCTGTGTGGACTACGGAATAATTGTATAGACCTTTTTGACTGACATAATCCAATTAGTTATTTTGCTATGCATGTACGTAACCAAATTTCTTTTAGGGATTCACTCGGTGCCGAATATAATTCTTTATGAATTTAAGACAGACAAAAACCTACTTGATGCCATTTTTTCCTTTTCCAGATAAACTGATTGGCAAATGCATCCTGGGCTCCTACATGTTCGCCAGAGGTAAAGCTCTAATCCAATGGAACACAGCTATCGCAAATCCGATGGAGCAGTGTCAGCAATGGCATGTCTTAACCGAGTAAACATCGAGCTCGAGTTTGTAAACACCATTAAATAAGCACAGTCTGTATACAAGGGTAAATCAATGGTGATGTCTAAAGTGTCTGAGGTACATTCTCAAATAGCTTGATTGATTGATTTCCTTCTAAGCACAGTGCCACGAGATGATTTGCAAGAATATGAGGCGTTGTCTTGACATTAACTCTTGTTCATTCATTGGCTTTCACAGCAAGATACGATAGATTCTCAATCATCAAATTGAATATAAAGTTACACCCAAATGGTGTGAATTTATGATTTAGAGAAACGAGCACAGAGGGGACAAATCAGTAACCGAGCCTCGCTCTAGATGATCTAAATCTAGCATATATTAGTGGTAAGTAGTATTACTTCAGTGTCATTATATTTTTTCCTCTAAACTTAAATTCTATATAGTTTCACTGCACTGCACAGATATACAAAAAAAATGCAAAATGTTGATTTTATCGTTATTTAGCGATTTCCTCTACTCCGGAAAATTCTAGAAATGGTTATGGAAACATAAATACAAGCATCAATGCTGCGTTTTTTCCATTGAAGTAATGTTCAAGTTCATACCTTCCCAAGCCAAAAGCCATTGGTTTTCCCTCGTAGCCAAATAATTATGTCCATATATGTTCACATCTAAAAAGTAACAAATGTCATTAGAAAAAAAATAATCGATGCGAAAGTAGGGCAGGAAAATGGTATACTGAAAATGGAAAAAGAGGTCTAACGAATCTTAATAGCAGTTTATTTGTTACACTGCAGAGTAATAAGTAGAATTTCAAACATTGCTATTCTATTCAAAGTTTTGTTGTTTATTTTAAATCCTGAATATTAACGAAAAAGAATTCTGATGGAATCGGTAAGTTAAGTGTTGAACCTGAGGTCACCAAGACAAATATAAAAAAACTCTTTTATTTCACATATTGCTGACCATGAGGATCGTGTTTACCAATACGAACATATCCGTATAATATACAGAAATCAGCTATCTATAGTAATTTGTTTGGAATTTATATATGAATATTTTCAAATGTTACATTGTCACAAATATCATTTTGATTTAAGCTTTGATAGTATGGTGTCACAGGTCATTTCAGCATCTCTGTACAATTGATCACATATTTATGAAAATTAAATTTAGGTTTGGTTTTGTACTTTGTTTAGATCAATTGAGGAAAAACGATGTTCATAAATGCTCATAAAATATCGATTTATTATTGCAAATATCTGATACATACTCACCCATTTTATATCTGCACATAAAATAGTACCCATGAGGACCTTACGAAGTTCAAATACTCCAAAATTTAATGTCAAAACTTCCAGAGTTCTCTATATAAATGTTACCAAATCGAGCTTTCAATGTTTGTAAACTTAGGTTACATATTAATGAGTACCTGTGTTATGTTTAATTGTATTGATGTGTTCTGTGTGTCATATATTTGTTTAACCAATAAGCTAATATGATAAATAAAGACATATATTATTACAAAAACATTATTTCATTATGTTTCTCTCGTTTTTAACAAAACTGAGTACGAAAAATATACGTTTACGTCGTATATGTATACGTCGTGTAAATACACTATACAAATATACATATTGGGCAGCATTTTACAAATTGCATTTGGTGTCTGTTCAGTGGGTCATTAAACCCACAACAGAACGTCAAAGGTCAAGATAAGTTGGGGAAAAACTACTAACGACCATAAACCTACCGATATGACCACGGACTTCATTATTCTGAGCTTTTCTTTAAGATTTCACTAAAATAGCGTGTGTTATAAGAGCTCTGAACGTCAAGGAAGTTTTCCACAAAGCTTGTATCAGCAAAATCTTCTTTCTTCTTAATAACAGTAGCCCTACCCGAGGATCTAGATCTTGTCTTCGCGACTGCCTCAGTATTATAATAAAATAAGTATCATTTTACGGAAATCTTATTCGCCCTGTATGTTCCATGTGAAGCGTGTTTTGAAGAATCGTCAAAAGAAAATAGTCTCAGGATCGTCCAAAGGATCAGATCTTAAAGGTTTGACTCCTATTTAAGAAAACCCTGAGTTTTAAGAAGGTTGGCTGTGCTTTAATAAGTAGCATCTTTACGTTTGTTGCCGTCCATTGTAATCGCATGACATAAAGCAAGAATGCCAAGAATAAGGAAGCTATCAGCACCGCTAAAAATACTTTGTTCTGCGATATAAATCACATTTCTGTGTGTGTTTGCGCGCGTCTCATTCAGGACAGGTATGCGCGCTTCATGCTCCTTAACGACCCACCTTTCATGTCACAAGGCTTTTACTCATCTCCCGTCATAAATCGACTTGCGGGACAGGGGAGACAAAGACGTACAGCAAAATGATGGGGGCATAAAGATTAGAAAATGTGCAGCGGGGACTGCCATTCAAATTAAAAAGCTTGTTGTAGACCAGACGAAAGTCTGAAGTATCTTGCACCACTGAATGTCTAGTAGTAGAGTATCCGATACACCATGAAATGGCCATCATATCTAACGGATTGAGATTCAACATGGCAACTTTGGGTATTCTAATGAAGCGACAAGTACAGATCTAGACACTGAACCAAATTTCTTCCACTAATAGGTACCTACTTCTTTGTTTGAACAGTATTACTGAGGTAAACATTTTTATGATTGGAATCAAATCATAGTCTTGCTGCCTGGGAAAATCTCAGACATTTGTTCATGCTTTCCTTGAAGTCATTTTACAAACGCGTATACGCCGACGTCGACTACCCGTCAGAAGTCATCTATGTTGGAATGAAGAAGTGCATCTCTCATACTAATCTAGGATCAGGTACTAAAGTCTCGTGTGCCGTTATATAGCCGTTCAGTATTTCAATTATGTAGTAAGATTAGCAAGAATTGTAAATACAATAATGTTGTTCGAAATTTAGTAAAAACGTTCCCTTTTACCATTTACAGTATTATTATTTGAATAACAGTACAAATTGACAAAAATGAAAAAATGAATATTAATTCTAACATCTGTGTCTCAAAATATGAGTAGAATGAGCTTTGAAAAGTTGAATAATCTGTTTTCAATTTGGCGGCCATTTTTAAATATGGCATACGGATCGGATGACCTGATCTTTATATGCTCCGATGGGTGCCTAATAATGTCCTGCAATCAAACTATGTTCAATACTAAAATTTCTAATCCGACTAGATTAGCAAATCGAGAAGATCAGGGCAAACTGGACCTTTTTAAAAAATCCCACTAGAACAGATAATATGGGGATTTTCAAGAAAAGTAGTTACTCTAAGTTCGTTAGCTTATAAAGACGTGGAAAAAACATTGGGAAATGCGAATTGCGGATACGGCAACAGCAACACTGTACCTTCATAAACATGTGCCGCAAGTTTTGGAAACAAACGGTAATAGTGTAATCTCACAGTTGTAACGTAACCCCAAAGATCATCACAATGCAAGAATCAGGCTGTTGACGCTTCTAAGCGCTGGCCAAGTTTCCTTTCACCGCTGATACGACCGGAAGGATTGTAACTGACTTCAAGGCCAAGGTTTTCACTGTCTACTTCATAATGAACGTCTCGTCCGAGTGCCATTGATGACAACAGTTCCTCATACTATTAGGGAAGAATCTTTTAGGTAGGTACTGGAGTCATTCGACACCAATAATGCTTCTGGCCCTGCATCCTTATTAAAAGTATGGCGCTAAATCTTGCTCCCGTCCTTTCACATCTCTTTCAGAGGTTTTACTTGTTGCTCCTTACTTCTTCCAGGGAAATGGAAGTTTACTCATATTCAACTCGTTCTAAAAGAAGATTGAAAAGCAACCTTACCAGGCCTATAACTTTACTTTCTGTGTAGTATATTGTCAAGGAGACTTTAAAATATTTAAAAGCTTGATTTGTGACATTCAGTATGGTTCCGACCCCAGCGTGCAAGTGGATCATCCTAAGTTTCGTCATATATGTGTAGAAAGCTTCGAAATAAAACAGCGTAAATCGCCATATATTGTCAGCATCAACAACTGCGAGAGTGGATACCAGCTACCGGTTGGAACTGTAAATATTTCAGTTCGCGTTTGATAACCCAGTTATCACTGTGACCGCTAGAGGCTGACGATTCTGACGGTATAGCAGATGTGGTCTACTCGTCGTTGAATAACTAAACATGCTACTTTTGTTCGCCCGATCATGGATAGCTGTTTCGTACTTTCTATCAACGCATCAGCATGGTCTCCAAAACAACGAACAAAGGTATAAAAAAATATCCTCTAACCAAGGTATGAGATCTGTCAGGTAGGACCAAACCTAGACCATGCTAATGAATGGTAAAAAAGCACGAAACGACTGTCCATGGGGCGGACGAAAGTAGCATGTATAGTCTAGTAAGCTTATTCGGTCATATGGTGAGGCTCATGCTATTGCTCTTACTATTGCATAAGCTCTTTTAAGTGAACTTCTATCCTAAGGCCTCCCCGAGAAGCTTTTCATGTGAATTCTTCTCCAATCATGCGATATTTGTCGCAATTGATGACTCTGTTTTTCATCCACAACATTAACCGGGGTGTTTCTCGACGTTTGTACATTTTGGATTTCTGAAGCCTATCATCTGAACTATTGAGTTTTCACGTTGGCCAACAGTTTATCATCTATTGGTCCAGTAATTGTTGTTCAAGAGAAAACAAGACCTAGTATTTGTAAAAATATGAACCTCATTGGCATCTGCCTGTGCCACTGGTAGATTCTAGTTGCTTAAATTAGTCTGCGTGGCGAATTTAGCCACACTGGCCGACAAATGTCTACGAAAACAAGTATAAAGATGTTTGTGTGAGTAATAATTAATGAAATGCGGTATATCTGGATTGTATGCGGGTGGCACTTCTAAGGAGTAATATGTGTTCAATAAAGCAATAAAGCAAATACGAATTTTCATTTTAACAGTGTTTCGTATCCCGCAAATACGAGTACATTTGATATGAGGTTTCACTCACAGTCCTTTAGATTTTAGCTGATATTAATAAATGTGATTAAGCTCTGATATGCGAAAAACTTGTAAAGAATCAATTTGGAGTCAACTGGAGGAATTTCACTGAAGTGGGCAAACTGACCCTGTATAAGTGCATTTTCAACCTCAGATTCGTATTCGTGTCCCAAATTATCTAAGTGTACTAAGTTACATTCATTTGTAGCAACAAGAAACAAAAATAGAAATTTTGACTTACAAAGTCTTTTAATGTTTTGAGACTTCCTATAACCTTTTGGGTATATCTCATTTTTTTGGTAGTTAGTAACATATTTGTATTATTCTGTGTCGTTGGCAATAATGAATCTGGTGTAAGTCTAGTGAAACTGAATCTGTACCGTAAAAAAAATAAAACATAATACGACTCTGCCAACCTGGCGTTGACAGATCTGTCAGAACTATATGTCGTTTGCCGATATGGAGAATTTTGAAATATTAGATAATCAGCTGTTATTCTACCGTCATGGATACTAGTGTAAAAGTCAATATGCCTTCTCAATTCCGGCACGGGCATCACGTATCTTGAAAAGTGACATTATGCGGATTTTTTTTGACATTATGCTGCTTTTTGTCATTATGTAGGTTTTTCAACAAGATGTTAACTTAGCACTTAGTTGTACGTGTTGCCTAAACGTCATGAGGCTTGTTATCAATCTTTGGCCATGATGTGATGTAAAATCTGCTTCTGAGATGGCATTACTTCAGGTCTAAGCTTTAAGTTGTATGTGTTGATGATAATTACATTGAGTTCTTGTCTCCTATACACTT